GATACAACTGTGATAACCAATAATAAACCTCAGTGGACAAGGTATATATATATATATATATATATATATATATATATGTTTAGCGAGCGCAAGTTATGTAACAGATAGTTAGATAGATCTAGGCTGAGTGATTGGCAGTTTAGCCATGATGGGTGATTTCTAAAGAAGTTAAGTCAGAAAACATTAAGTTAGTGAAAGTGAAGTTAGACTGCGTGATCCTTAGTTTAGCCTTAATAGGCAATATTTAAAGTGAGTTTAACAGAGATAAAGAGAATAACTTGTCTTGTCAAAGGGTGTTCTAAAGTAATTGAACCCATCTTTGTGGACTTTGACAAAAGTAGACAATTATTTAAAGTTTGAGATACAACTGTGGTAACCCACGGAGTAACATAAGTGAATCTATCACAGATTGTATAGTAAGAAACAGTATAGAGAAAAATAATTCATTTTGTCAATTGGATTCTAAAGTAATTGAATCAACCTTTGCGGTCTTTTGATAAGAAAGAGAATTATTTAGAGTTTTAGATACAACTGTGATAACCAATACAGTAACAAATTTATTTGTACGTATGTTTGACTTGTTTTGAATATATTATTCTAAAATGAGTGGATTGTGCTTGTGCTGTCCATTTATTGTTGAAATTTATTGCCAATAAGTCACAGACAACTACTGTAAATAATCATAGCCATATAAAAACCTGACATCTTGCGGGAGCATTTTCAGGAAAGAATCATTTCACATCATTTTCCTTGTTATAGCCACCTCTTGCACTGGATCTAACACCTGTCAATTTCTTGTTCTGAAGGTACCTGAACAGCTCCAGACATTAAGGATACAATTGTGTGGGAAGTGGCCAGCATACCAGATGAGATGTACCTTGTTGCTGAAGTATTCATTGTTATATAGATGCAATTTATTATGGATGGTGGAATAGCACATTTGAGCAGTTTCTATGTTTGATGAGATTTGAGGTGATAATGATGCCCTTGGTGGCAACATGTGACAACTGTAGCATTTGCATCTGTATGATATCCTTAATATCCTGTGTGGTTTACCATACTCTGCTATACTGTTTTTGAGGTATGAGAAATTAAGCTGTGAAACTTTGTTTATAATCACCTTATATATATGATGATTGGAATAGTTTCCTTAATGATATTTAATTTTTGATTATTAGCCCCGTTGTGTGATATTGTTCTACATCAGCCAGTGAGAGCAAGAGAAATATTTAAAAGTGTTGTATACATAGCTTTGAAGTCATTGCAAATTATGCCAGAGACTTTCACTTGTAATCAGTTATTGGTGGACATTAAAATAGACTGGTTACCCCCATTTTCAGAGTAAGTAAAAAATTGTTTTAAGCTATATGATATCAGTACTTACATTTCAGCATTTACTGCATGTTTTCAGTGCTTGTTATATATTTTTGGTGTAGTGATGTACTATTTCATAGATGGTTAAGGGTGCAGTAGAATTATTGTATGATTTTGTGATACACATAAAAAAGTTTAGAAACTTAAAAATGAAGTAATCTACTGCTTGTTTTGTACATTAAATATATATATGCATAGTTTATTATTTCATTATTATTCTGGAATGTCAAGGTTGCCAGTAGGAGTAGTAGGGCAGTTAGATATAGGCTTCCATCCATATTAGCCAGAATTTGATTTTTGTAATGTTTATTTGAATAAATTCCTGAATGTAATAAGTTTCATTTGAGATTTATTTTTTAAAATTTAATATAGTAACTATATGATATCTTCTTAGGCAAAATAACATTCTGCTTCCTGATTGGCTTCTTTAATCCTGTCTAGACAAGGCAACCTGAATTTTTTTCAAAACGTTTCAGAAAAACAACTCCTACTTACAACGATAATGGGAAAAACCTGTATTCCTGCCATGCTGCAACTACCTATCATAATCATACATTAATTTAGTTAAAGCCAATTTTAAGTTGAGAAAAATATGTATGTCATGGAACTAGGAATAATTTAATGAATAAAAGAAAAGCATTAGACATGTTTAGTTTTAATGGTAATTGACATGTATAATAAATACAAACAAGTTAACATAAAGTAAGAAGTTATACATGTATAGATACAACAATATTTATAAAGTTTATGTTTTATGAGTAAGAAAAGAAATAACTAACAAAGGATCTTCTAGGTACACTATATATAATGGTATAAAGCTAACAAACAAAATGAATGAGAAAAGATTTGTGAAGTTTGAAGGTATTGTTCAGTTGCTGAGTGGACCCACTAAATACACGTATGTATGTCTGTGTATCTTGTTTTCATGTGCCATTCTGTTTGTGAAATTTAGGATACTGTGATAGTGAAAAAAATGAGTATAATTTCATTTTCTAATGTTTTAGCATCACTTTCTGAAAATTAAAACTTTCATTGATATATGTAGTGATCTAGCTATGTATTTATGTCTGTAGTAGAGACTAGTTTACTTACGCATTTTTAATCCTTAACTTATGTAAGTTTTATAAAATTAACAGGATTTGATATGTTATTTTCATTACATTTATATGAAAAAATAATTTTTTTCATGTATTGAGGAAGTTTGATCTAGATATGCATTGATATTTTTTTTTTATACTATCATTGCTAAGTAAATAAAACACGTGGTATTCAGGTCCAATGATACCAATAGATAAGTTCAAAAGTATATGCAAAACATATTTTTGAAATGTTATGCAGAAGATAAATCACACATGAACAGCAAAGGAAAGAAACACACACATAAATAAACTAACAAGATATTTATTCACAAAACTGTCAGTCTTCACACTTACTGTATGGCAAATAATTTACCTTTAACTGTTGCTGGAGTTATAGGCTTTCTGCACAAGCATCCACACAAGACAAAGAAAAGTAATGCGACATATGTGCAAAATTCAGATAAAACTTTACAGTGTGGTAAACTGGAATCCTATGGTGCATAAGTCACTGACTATTCTAAATAATATTTAGAGCAAAGAAAATCCCTAATCATTCCAAATTGTACAAGTATCTGAGCCACTCCTTGAGATGGGCTCATTTTTCCCAAGAGGAGTAAGACACGGGGCCAATGTGATACGAGTTTCTAGCCATTTGTGTATGTTAGCTTGACCTGAATAAAATTATTAGTACATACATATAACCATTCAATATTTGATTTTAAAATATATCATACTAAAAGCAGAACACCTGCATGAAAACTTGGAAAAATTTACCTAAATATATATTTGTCTAAGGATATATTCTAAATAGTTATGGAAGGGGGTAATTTCTAAATCATAGTTCGGTTAGGAGTGTCTTTATTGCTGTCTGCAACTGTTGTATTGGGTAGTTAATCTTTAATTCTAAGTCAGCTTAGTTCAAATTTATTTCACTTAAGTTTAATGCATTTTTATTTGGTTACATCTAATTAGTGTTGGTTTGGACAACTTTGTTTTCAATTCATTTGTTCAACTTGCAGAACTGTAAATGCACTTCACTGTGTGTAAGAAAATAAAGAGTATTCAATTGTTTTCATCAGACTTATCTGGCTTTTCTCTTCTGTGCTTGTTCTAACATTAATTAACATTCTCTCCATCTAAATCCTCAAACCTTTCATTATGCAAGGGGTGGTTTTCCTGTGTGTGAAATATTTCATAACATTGATTACCATAAAGGTTCACTTAATTCATTGATTGATAAAGATGTGAAAGGTAATGAGAAGGATACGCTTTCCATGCTAATAATTGTAATTCTAAAGATACATATATATCAAATTCTTTAATTGTGGCTGAAAAATACTTATAAAAAAAACAACAAAGTTCTATGTTTTTTATTCATTAGACTTCTTACTGTGATATATCATTATTTTGCTCATTTATTTCTTTAGACAAAGTGCTCGTTACCAGTGTTCCTTAGAAGATTGTGAAGGTTACCAAGGGAATAAGTTTGTTAGGGTACACATCCCTGGAGCATGGGAGACAGAAACAATAAGGTGAGAAACTTGCATATCTGTTTAAACATTGGCATTCGAGATTGCTAATTGTGTCATGCAGTGTTTGATGTTTAAGAAGCATTGCTGGTAGTAGTGTTCTGAAATACATCCTGAGGAATCACATAATATGCATTTAATTAGTACTTGTTC